CTCAAAAACAAGAAGCTCTTTATCAGGTCATTAGATAAAGCCACCTGTTCCTGTAAAGATTTTTCGCCTTGGAAACTCTACAGAGGATTGCTATAATCAACTCCATGGCAGTGGGTTTTTCCCATAACTATTGAGCCCTGGTGGCAAGGTGGCATAGCGTTGTGCTGCTCACCACCAGGTTGGCAGTTCAAACCCACTTCCCGCCAGTCAAAAGCTCCGGTAAAAATGTTATCATCTTGGAAACCCTATGTAGGCCCTTCCACTATGTGGATAACATTTTGAAGAAAGGGAATTCCAGAACATTTCACTGTGTTCACGTGGAATCTATGTGTGGACAGCAGGCAGCGATTCCTACAGAAGAAGGCAGCACTACGTGGGGTAAAATCTGGCCTGATGGGTGTCAGTGGTGTTTTCTTGTGCCATGCTAATTCAGTGCTAATTCTGAAAAGCTGGGGTTTGTGAACAAGAAAGAGGCACCAAGATCGTCACTAACAATGGGTCATATGCAGATCAATCACACAGCCGTGGTCCCTGAAAACCAGGAGCTCTTTTTTTTTTTTTAATCATTTTATTAGGGGCTCATACAATTCTGCATTTTCTCTTCCCTTAAACCCCCAAACCAGGAGCTCTTGAGAACAAAACGAGACTGCAGACTTTCAGTATAGATGACAACTCAATGTGAAGAAAACCTAAATCCTTACAACGTCACCATCAGGTGTCACCATCAGGTCGCACCATGAGAGAGGGAGGGAGGGAGGGCGGAAGTCGTCAGGGATCTCATGCTAGTGGGATCTACAGTGAACACTCAGGGAAGTAGCAGTCGAGAATTTGGGCTGGGCAAATCTGTTGTTCAAGATCTCTTCAAACTGTTAGAGAATAAAGACATGACTCTGAGGGCCAAGGTACGCCCGACACCAGCCATGGTATTTTTCAATTGCCTCGTATGCGTGGGAAAGCTGAGCAATGAATAAAGAACACCGCAGAAGAACTGACATACTCGACTGCGATGCTGGTGAAACCTATATCTATTGAAAATACCACTGATGGGCAGAAGAACAAACAAATCGGTATTGGAGGAAGGACAGCCAGAATGTTCCTTAGAAATGAAGATGGTGAGACTTGGTCCCACGTACGCTGGACGTGTTATCAGGAGAGCTCCGGCCCTGGCCGAGAACATCACGTCTGATAAAGGAGCGCACCAGCAAGAACGGCCACAGCCCTCAATGAGCTGGACTGCAGCCGAGTCTGGGGCAGGGAAGACTAGCCGGCACCACAACAGACGTCAGCATCGACTCAGTGGCAGGGTCCGGTTTCCTTACGAATCCGTTGGTCAAAGCAAGTGCTAAAAAACCAACGCACTGCCTCTGAAATCTGAACCTGGGCACCCCCGTGCCTCACGGGCTAACATGCTCCAGGGGTACAGCTCCTCCTGGTTCCTTCCCACCTGAGCTGGAGATGGGGGACCACCCAGCTGTGGGCACACTCTTTTTATAAGATTAAGTAGATAGGCTTCCCTTAAATGACTTCGTTTCATTCCCTTTGGAAACCAGGATTGTAAAACAGAGCGAGGTCATCTAACAAGAACCCAACTGGTAGAAATCTGTGCTAGCGCTCTTAGAACACGCCAATGCCAGAAACACAACTGGGGCTTCGGCGCCATCGGTGATGGGTACTTGGAGGGCTGGCTGGCCAGATAGGCGAACGGATGGATGTGTTTGAACCCTCATTACTCAAGGCTCAGTCTGCCATGGTGCCAAATGCTAGCACAAACAGGCTGTGGTGCCGAGACAATCTCCAAGTGAACGAAATTCACAACTCCGTAATATTGCTATGGTTCTTACTAAAATTAGATGCCAACATTTTGGACTTCACTGTCTGCTTTTATCATAGTTGGTCAATAATGGACTATTGACAAACCCCAGTTCTGTATCAGGTACAAAAGAAGAGAAACCAAGCTCTCTGTTCTCATAAAGCCTTCATCTGAATCCTAGAGATAGAGAGAGGCCAGAGGCAGAGGCACAAGCCCCAGTGCGGATATAGCTCCAGGCAAACTCCACTGCTAATGGTCTCACACCAACCTAACAAAATGTGCTGGGCACACTCTGCCAGGCGAAACACAAACACAGCCAACACATGGCATTCACCAGCTCAGTGGCACTGTGGCCAGCACCGGAGACTGTTTGGGAATTACAACAACTCGTTATAACATAGCAGGCAAAATGATACTCTCCCCAGCCACCCAGAATAGGGTTTACCGTACAGACTCGTGTATAGGCCGAGTTTTCCAGCACATTTTTAATGCAGTTTTTTGTGGTAAAGTGAGGTGCCTGGGCTGATATTCGGGTTGGCTTATACTCAAGTATACATGGAAATTCACAAACATGATACCCAGCTGTGGCACTTCTTTAAAAAAAAAAAAGTAGGATTTTCTGAGGAAGTTCAAAACCACCCACGGAATAGCATCAGCTGGGAAGCCCGGTCTCTGCAAACCCAAGGAGGGGCCACCGAAGACGACTGGCCTTTCTTCACGCCGGGCGTGGCATCCAGGGGCGTCTCAACGCAAAGCTATTGCCAGTTATCACCAACAAGGAGCCGCCCCCCATGCCAGTGTGTGGAGGGTCAGTGCCCACCTTCAGAGACATCCGGGTGACTGCCCGCCACTGTCACAGCTTCCGGGGGATGTGGACACTTCTTGCCGCAAATTCACTTCTACTCCTCGTCTTAAAACACCAATGAAAACTGCCAAGTCACCTGAGGGTATCTCCATTTTTAAGAATAAACTTCCATGAAATTCATGTGCTAATCAGCTGGTTCCTGTAATTAATTTTAATTGGTCTGGAGATTCTGAGAGACACCCAGAGAAGCACCAAGCTACATCGCGATGTGTAAAAATTCCCCCCACCCTAATTTTAGACAGAACTGGCATTTTAACTACTTTCTCAAACACGAGAGAGCTTCAAAAAGTTCATGAAAAAGTTCCATTCGTTCTTAATTCCAGTTTTCCAAGGGCTTTTCGAAGCCCCTCATCTATCTGCTAAGATTGTATCTCTGCAGCGATAAATCCCTTTAGACCCAGAGCGATAGGACCTGCCAGGCATACGACAGATTTAAGCCAGGCGAGTGTTCGACATAACCATCACCTCACTGCCTGGAGAACTCTGGAAATAAATGAGACCATCAAAATTTGAAAACATAATGGATGAAAAATTAGAAAGCAGCCTTTCTTCTGTCATCAAATGAGCTCACCGGGGATCTGAGAAAGTTTTTTCAAAGTCTGAGAATGGAAACTGCCTGAAGAAATGGATTCTTGTCCCCTTCCCCCTACCTTCTTGGGAAGACAAAACACAGGCCTCCTATCATCAGAGGCTTTCCAACTCACACATGCTGGATCCGATCCAAGCAAACAGCCCGACCGGAGCACACGGGAGGGCTTTTCTCAGTGAAAGTAAAAGCAGCTACCTGCATTTCTCTGGCCTTGATCAGCTTCACGGAAGAAGAGCTTATCACTGGACCCAGGATGCTTCCATTCTCGAAGCCCTCGCCATGTGCTAAACCAGTGGCACCTGCCTAAAGGAGACTTTGCATGGGAAGTAAGACAGAATCCAAGCACGGGCAGCGTGGAAATGGCAGAAGTGAGCAAAGACAGTGAATTCTTCTGTGTCAGGTGCCATGCTTAAAGTCCTTCATGTGGGTTCTTCTGTCTGATCCTTCAAGTCTATGATATAGGGACTGCAGTGTCCTTATGTTACAAATGAGGAAACTCATTTTACAGATGAGGTTAAAGTCTCAGGGCTAGCAGGCAGTAGGGCTGGTGTTGGAACGCATGTGCGGTGTGGCCAGAGTCCGGGTCCTCTCTGGTTTGCTACATTGCTGTGTGCAGAAGGGGCCTGGTTCCCTAGGAGACGACAATCTGAGAGGAGACTGTGACAGGGCCAGGGAGCAAGCCAACCAGAGGAAAATGCAGGCCCAGTACCCTCCTCCTTTTCTCCCCTGGTCCTACTGAAAGGGACAGAGAAGTTTTCTCAGGGAGGTGTCAGTAAGGACTTCATCTCCAGACAAGATGATAAAGGGCGAGGCCGTGCTACAATGTAGTCATCATTCCAAGAATTTCGATTTAAATTGTGCCTCCCTGTTCACACTATCAGCAGGCCCTTTGAGGTATGCACTGTGGGGAAGAATGTGCATTTTAATGCAACCTTTCTAGAGAACATCTGGGCAATGTCCATCAACATCTTAAATGCATATCCCTCTGTTGAAGCAATATAATTGTACTGATTTATTATGCTAGAGGTAGGCTTGCACAGGACTTTTGCAAGTTGCCGTATTCTCTGCGGCGTTGTCTATAATAGCCTGAACAGTGGAAGCAACCTACAAGCCCACAGCGAGGGGACCGACTGAAAATGAATAAACACCATGGGTGACAAGCATACCTGGAGCCCTGCAGTGGGAATTTGATCCGTGCCGATATGGAACGTCCCCCAAAGTCTACCATTAAGTGACAGTGTTAGATATAAAATCGTATATAACCTATGATCCCATATACATTTAATTTTTCTAGACTATCTAGGGGAGCCCTGTTGGCAGAATGGTTATGCATTGGGCTGCTAACCCCAAGGTCAGCAGTTCGAAACCATCAGTTGCTCCATGGGAGAAAAAGGAGGCTCTCTGTTCCTGTAAAGAGTTACAGTCTCAGAAGCCCACCAAGGGCAACTCCAACCTGCCCTCTGCGCTCACTGTGAGTCAAAGCTGACTCATTGGCCACAGGAGAAGGATATTCAACGAATATCAGCAGTGTCTTCTGGGGAGTGGGGGACGATGGGAAGGAAGAAGAGTGAAAACATTTCTCATTGCATAATCCTTTCAAAATGCTGGAGTTTTTTCACCCATTCGGATATATCACCTTAGCAGATCCAGAAAATATCAGAGAGCTTCATCTTTATAAGCCTTGAAAAAACAACAACAAAACCCTTTCACATTGGGCAGCATGCTCTTTTCGATACCTTGTTTCCCTCGTACACCCATCCCAAACTCTTCACGCCAAAAGCAACTTGCTTGGCTGAGACATCGAGACACGTGACAGGCTGGCCGTAGACGTAATGCAAGGTTCTGGCAGCGTCGTCGGCTTTGAGCAGGTAGACCAGATCTCCAGCGGTGGCGATTGCCACAGGGTACCTTCCGGTATCTGGAACTATTTCAAGGTAGTCAACCTGTCAAAGAAGGAGAGTTGTTCAGTTCTTAGAGTCTCACCCCAAATTGATCTTGATTTGGCCAAAAATACACAATTGCTTCCATACATCGATGAGAGACCAATAATCCAAGATAACAAGATGTGCAAGCGGACAGGACACAGAACAGGAGGCACCAACAGCTGTGGCATCAATGGAAAGATGCCCATGAGAAGAGACATACAATACACTCTGAGTAAGACAAATTCCTAGTGAAAATGCACTCAGATCCCACCTTCACCTGCTAGACTAGGTAAGATCACTTCTTGTTGCTGCACACTAAGTTGGTCCCACTTTTATGGAGGGAACCCTGTCAATTGCACACTTGGTCCGGAAGGTCCAATTCTACAAGTTTACTTAGAAAGTCAAAACAGGTGCACACAAGGCCAACCACTGCAGCACTATCATATGTATATATATATGTGTGTGTGTATATATGTATGTGTATATGTATATGTATATATGTATCTTAGATATCTTTTTCAATACAAAGTCTAAATGCCCACCCCCAAGGGACTAAATGAGGACCGTCTGACACACCTAAACAAAGGTACATGGCACAGTTACAGCAGAACATATGGTGAAAGCCTTTAAAAAAATCTTAATACATCATTTTATTGGGGGCTCTCACAGCTCTTATAACAATCCATATATCAATCGTATCAAGCACATTTGTATATATGTTGCCATCATCATTTCCGAAACATTTTCTTTCTACTTGAGCCCTTGGTGTCAGCTTCTCTTTTTGTCCTTTATAACCAGAAGCAAATAAAACAAACTCCCGGAAAAAACGGGGTGGGAGGAGGGGACGAGGCAGGGTGAGGGCCAGGATGCAGCGTGCTGCGTGAGGCCTCTGTAAAGGTGAGGGCAGAAAAAGTGCATGCTGCACTGAACTTGGCTGGTGCATACACGGACCCCGCTACCACGGCTGCTTCCAGAGAGGGAGACAGGTCCTGAGGCGAGATTTCTCACTATCACCCCTCAACCATGTGAGTGTCACTATTCAAGAAATTACGGGGCCGGGAGGGGGGTGTTTTGTTTTGTTTTTTAACCAAGAAATTTTAAAAGAAAATTCGTGGTCACAGCATACACAAAAACTTCATCTTAACATCTATGTGGCCTCAAACCTGGTTTCCTGGAGGTGAAAAAGATCAGTGTTGCCGGCTCCCTCAACGCTGTCAGGGGCAGATTCCAGACAGGCCATGACCACAGCCATGTTTATCCTATGAGACCGCACAGCTGGCACGGCCCCCACTTGCCAGGGCTGCGCAGTGCCCTTTAAGGACTCACCCCCCAGGGCTGTGCCCATCCTCCCGGAGTAAATTAGGAGAGTCCAGGGCTCAAGGTGAGCCACACTCTGTAATTATGAAAATCCACAGTGTGAAAGGACAGCTTGCCGCTGCCAAGTTGCCAAATGAGTTCAAAAGCCTGGATCGTGAAGGCTGTCCAGAGTCGCTCAGAGCGAGGAAACATCTGGGTGCCTCTGCTAATCCTCAGCCCACCAGTGTGCGCGGCAGGCAGCCCATGTCCCGCTCTGCGGACCCAGCACAAAGGACGGATGTTTCTGGTTAGTGTGACAAGGTCAGGGGCACTGCCACTGCTATTCAGGGAGTGTGTCTGCGGGAGACAGAAAGGGTCCAGCTTCACGGGCCAAGGGGGGCCCTTTGAAGGGACACCCGGCTCGTTCTGTGGCAACCCCTCACCCAAGGCGAGAAACCCTACATGAAAATGCTCGTGGCTCACAGGCACCTGCAGCAATTGCTTGCTTCCCGTGGCTCTGATTCTCTAAGCCCCTCCTTATGTTCCTGCCACTGACACCCTCAGCCCAGCCTTCAACCTCATCTCCACGTGGGACAACCGACAGACTACGAGGCTCAGGTTGAAAGCCGTGGTGCCCTTGGCTGGGAGCTGCAACTGACTTCAAAATGCTGCTCGGCTGTGCCAGGATGCTACCTATTGCCAAAGCAGGCTTGGCACTTTCTAGAGAGATTCACATCTTAAGTAACTGTCTAACTTCACAGAGCCGGTGCCGGTCAGCTGTGTCCTTTCATCTGAGACCAACAATAAGCACTGGGGGGGGACGGGGACGGTGTGTGTGTGTCGAGAACAAACAGAAAGCACTGTGCATTCACATTTCTCTAATAGAACCCTGAGACGAGATGGCAACAGGCTGTGCTGGGGAGCACCACACCCCAGCAGAGTGCCAATCACAGAAGGGCAAGGAGCGGGTGGTGGGGAAGCAGGTGGCCGGACTCTAAGTTGCTGAAGTCTAACAGATTTCCACCAAGAGAAAAGGGGATGGATAAGACGAGTTCCAAGATGGGCCAGCAGTTCATATGTCGGTGGCTCTCCTAGTGATGCCCAACTCAAGTATATTTCCACTAAAACCTCGTTCAGCATACACGGGTCTGAGCACGCACAGACTGCTTTCCTTCCTACTAGCAATCCATCTTCCTCCCCACAAATGTGCAGACAAGCAGGCCCTGCCTCTGAACTCTGGAGTGGAAGGTGCTCTGGGTTAGAGTCCTGAGGCTGGCTCGGCTTCACACCGGAGATTCCGCAACAGAGCTACCCAATTAGCACTCACTTCAATCATTTTCACTCAAGAGTTACTCTTAGTTCCAGGTGAGAAAATCTTGGGAGGCAGGAAGTGTAGGATAGAAGCCTTCCCACCCCGCTGGACTGGGCTGACACCTCTGAACTTGAGCTGGGCAGATCTGTTCACTGCTTTCAGCCCGTGTCTTTGCTGGTCAACGGGGAACACAACACTGCCTGTATCACAGGGCTGCAGAATGTGGTGCGATGGGTCTGAAGGTGCCTGATGGCACAGTGGTTTAGCACTCACCCGCTAACCAAAAGGCCCGTGGTCCAAACCCACCATTGGCTCTGTGGGAGGCAGGGGAGTGAGTCTGCTTCCACCAAGCTGACAGCCTTGGGAGGCCTGTGTGGCAGCTCGACCCTGCCCTGTGGGGTCGCTAGGAGGTGGAATCCACTGGGCAGCACTGGGAGTTTACTTGGTTGGAAAGGGTATGGATTTAAAGGCCACAGAACGACCAGCGTGAATAGGAGTTACCAACGTCCTCCCTGTGCATTTACAGCAGACACAGCGATTCTCAGAAGGCAACAGAGAGTGACCCGAGTCGGAGCTCACCAATTTCTGAACTTCAAATTCTGCACCAATGTGCCAGTAGCCTTCGTCATTCGGATACAGCATTGTGACATCGAAGGCAGAGGCGGTGGCAACAGTCGCGTCTTCCCGGCTGAGGGCCAGTGCCTGTATTCTTGCGTCATGCTCAAAACGATGAGCAGGAAACTTCCCAGTCCTTAGGTCCCAAATATTAAGGATTCCTGTGGAGAAGGGAGGGTGACAGTGGTGACCTTAAGTTCACTTGGTGCGCAGAGTTCATGCAATCACCACCACCGTGCCAAGTACGCAAAAGGGAAGAGACAAACCTGCAGACTTGTACCGGCTAGTACGGATGTGTCCTTGGCATATAAGAGACTCCGTAAGAAAACCATCATTGAAAAGTTGAACAAAGGACCTGAGCATGCGCTTCACCACAAAGAAATACGACGGACTGCGCAACGCTTTTTTAAATGGTAAAAATTCATTCACCATTACAGAAACACAAATAACTGCACAGTGGCATCATTTTCCATCAGATTGACAAAGATAGAACAGTGCACAAAACATTCTGTTACTGAGGATATGGAGAAAGAGGCTCTCTTCCTTATTATTTAAGAAAATCTTCTGGTGGGTGAGATGAGTCCATTAATTAATAAGATCCTTCTGTAGCCACAGTCCCTTTTGTGATGTATTACAGAGTCTTGCCTTGGTGCCTGTGGCTAACGCTCCTTTTGTTCGAGAGAGTTCTGCTATGCTAATGAACCAGATCCAGGGGGATGTGCTGAGCCTCTACCTTCCCCCAGGGGGGACTCAAGTCATAGGCCTTCTTTCCTTGGGCATATTACCTGCTGAAACACAAAGACCACACCTCCACGTAAGCCTTCCCTTTGGTGACCTCTGCTTCACTGAAGCACTGGTAGGGGCAAAAAAGACCAACTTTTGACTTTCTGACAATTTTTCTTAATCATGTTATTGGGGGCTCTTACAGCTCTTATCACAATCCATCCAGCCATCCATGGTGTGAAGCATGGTGCCGTCATTCTCAAAAGACTGACAATTTTGGCTTTCAGCTCTGGACCCCACATTTGGCTTGCCTGAGCCCACCTCTGATTCTCGGGACTTGAGTTTTCGGTCTAACACCTGCCCTGGTGTCACCACTTTCCACAACCTTGTGGGTGAGAAGCCCCTTCCAGACTAGATTTGGGATTTGGGGCTTAACTGTCTGCACAACACATGAGCCTCTTCCTGAATGGTGCATGAGCTTCCTGAGACGCAGCCCTGAACTGCAGACCACAGGGACCTGAGGGACGCTTCTAAGGAGAGTGTGGTAGTTAAAATCTGGGAACAGGGAGTGTTATAACATCTTGGACAAGTCTGACATTTGGGATATCTTTCATTTCCACCTCATCAGCAATGGACCAGAATTAATTCTTCTCAAAGAAATTATTACCATAATTGGTGTCCGAAGTGGAAGTAATAAGCTCTTACTTTGTTGGTGGAAGCACACACTAATTCACGTACTTTAGAGGAAATCTGCTAATATTTACCAAATTAAAAATGTAAACACCTTTTAATCCAATCATCTCTTGACATCTGTACACACGAAAGCACATGGAAAGACACTCACTGCAGTCTTATCAACATCTGAAAGGACTGGAAGTTCACTGAAGGTCCACCCATGTGGCCTTGGCTAAGTAATGGCACTTCCACAGTGCAGTGTACGGAACACAATGAGCAATTTTAAAAAATAAAAAAGTCAGCCCTATACATAATGTAGCCTGGAAGAAATGATCAACAGAGCACAATGTTAGATTAAAAAGGTGCTGAACAGTGGTATCGTACATTACGTACTGTCTTCTTAAATACACACACACACACACACATATCCTGGAAGGACCCACGAGAAACTGCTACCCTAGACTAGTCTTCTGAAGAAAGAAGCGAGGCGAGGAGGAATGGCAGGGTAGGAAAGAAACTGTATTGTCCCTTTGTGTATTCTGGGATTTTCCCCCCAAAAAAATATATATTGAAGAAAAAAAAAAAACTACACATGCAAAACCTATGAAAATGAGAATACATACATATGTATATATACACACACACATACCAGGGGACTTCAAAAAGTTACTGGAAAAAAAAGGAATTGCAAGATAATCGAATCTTTTCCCAAACTTTTTAAAGTCCCTGGGATCAAACGGCAATGAGGCCCTCAAGGTGACGCTGTACCCATGGGCTCCAGCTCAGGAGCAATTGTGGAGGTGGGGCAGGAACAGGCAGGGTCTCTTGCTGTGCACAGGGCTACTGGGGCGGGTACCGACTCGATGGTACCCAACAACAGCAGCCATTACCCCGAACAGGTAAAACTTCACTTTTCTTCTTGGAATCTATCTTTCTGTCTTTCCTGTGCTTTGACTTTGAGATCTTACTAGAAAGTATCATTTAGCACCAAGTAACTTATAAGGAAGTAGAACAATGTAATTATTTGGGAGGCTTCGCAAGACTGTCCAGCTGTCAGTAAGCTGAGTATTTAATTCTACACAAAAGCAGAGATCCTACCCTGTTAAACCTTCTTTCGGATCTCAGTACTCTCCCTAGAATGCTAACAAGCTCAGGGGATAAGCAGGTCTCCAAAGGGCACCTAGCACATTCCCTAGGCAAGTATCTCAGCAAATTCCTTTCATTCTGACTCAGGAGCAGCAGCTGCTACAGAAGATGCCAAGGGGTCTACACACTAAGTACAAGACAGGAGGTCCCTATTCCAAGATGTCTTAACATGTTCATCTTCATCATAGTCCTGCACTGGTCCAGGGAAAACACAATAAACAGCAAAGGAGAAATTCAAAAAAAAATTTTAAATCACTATTTGCCTAGAGCAGTGGTTCTCAACCTTCCTCATGTTCCTCATGTGGTGGTGACCCCCAAACCATAACATTATTTCCGTTGCTACTTCAACACTGTCATTTTGCTACTGTTACGAATCGGCAACCCCTATGAAAGGGTCGTTTGACCCCCCAAAGGGGTCGCGACCCACAGGCTGAGAACCGCTGGCCTAGAGCTCTCGCGTGTTCACACTGTCACTTGTCCCCGTCTTTGAGTCTTCGCCTCCACGCTCATTTAACAGAAGCGGGGCGGGGGGCACGGATCCAAAGTCACGTGGCAAGTGATGAAGCTGGGTTTGAACGCAGCAAGAGAATGCATGGTGCAATCATAAAGAAGACCAGGCATCGTGGTCCAAAAGTGGCTGGTAGACCCCAGAGACTATGGCCCTTAAGTCACCTGTCAGGTCTGGAACTGAACTCCCCCCCACCCCAAGGACAAAGTCCAGAAGGCTTAGGCAAAGAGGAGGGATGGAAGCAGGAAACATGGGGAGGAAGTGAGATACGCGATGTGACACTGTGGGGATTGTGACCAATGACACGCAGCAAAGTGTAAAAGAATTGTTGAATGGAAAACTGAGTTTGCTCTATAAACCTCCACTCAACTCACAAAGGGAAAATCACCATGCCGCATGCACGGCTGCCTTTGTGAGCGTGGGAAGCGGCGACCAGCTTGGTGAGGAACTGGCTTGCTCCATCCACCTCACCTGGGTGCTCTGCCAAGTGGGGAAGTGATTGAACCACAGCTCACTCAGAGCACACATGGAGTTTATCTATAAACACATTCTTCATTATTAATCAAGTATGGGTTTTGTTGGCATGATTTTTTGCACCAGAATTAGATGCAATAAAATATTCTTCACCACAGGAGTGCCTTTCAGAGAGCTGTCCTAAGGAGGGTCAATTTTTAAGCTAGCATTTCAGGACTATCAGTGTAATGGTCAGAGGCTTATCTGGTGTCAGCACTCGATCCGTGGCACAGTGTGTGCACAGTGTGTGATCACTTGCACAGCCCTCTGATTTCACGGAGGTCCGTAAACATTTAGGACCGGCATGTCTTCTTGCTGAATTGATGCTCTGTCATGATGAAATGCTCCTATATTAGCTGCTCTGTTTTGTCTGATATCAATGTATCAGCTGTATTCACATTATCAGTCTTTTCCTTAACCCTGTAGTTTTATACTTCAAGTGGGTTTCTTCTGGCCACTATCTTTTGACTAGGATGTTTAGACTATTTACATCCAGTATAAGGAGCTGTAAGGCTGGGCTGAACCTTCATTTTGTTATTTGTGCCCATCTGTTTTGTGTTCCATTTCCCCCCTCCTTTTCTGCCTTCATTGAGATTGAGTATTTGAATTGAATATGTGTTTAGTCCATCCTAATTCCTTTGTTGGCTTATTAATTAGTTATTTTGTTGGCTGCTTTTGAATTTTAGTAAATTCTCATCAGTCTCCCTCCTCGCTACAGTATAAGCACTCCTCCAGGCCCTCCCTCCCAGCCTTTGTGCTATATTGTGGTCATACTCTATTCCCACATGCGATATAAACTCCACTGCTATTTTTACATAAGGCAACTGTTTTTTAAAGAGATGTATGTAATAGAGAAAAGATGTCATTTATATTTGCTCACATAATTATCACTTCTGGTGCTCTTCTAATATGACTTTAACAGTATCATCACATGCTGCAGCTTTGCAGGTTCACTCTGCAAATGATGTGATATGGTAATGTCTGACCCCAAACACCTGGGCAGAAATGGACACCAGGGATTGTGTCTGAGTGAGACCTAATTTCATACACAGTCGACTAATTTATTTAAGTAGTTCAATCAGGGCTACCTTTGCAAGCTCAAAGGTGTAGGGACCTGAGCAGTGAAAGTGTGGATTATAAGTCTTCCATTACGCCATAGCTGAGTATGCAGCCACGCTAGCCAATACTTTAGTCAAAAAGGCATCAATGCAGTAGTACACCCAGCAAGCATCCACTGAGCCTCTGTGCAGTCCCAGGCACTGCTCTGAGCTCTGCAGATCCAGCAGCGACCAAGCAAAGTCCCTGCGGGCACAGAGCTGGCATTCCAATGGCAGGTCCCTGGGTCTCGTTTAAGGGTGTGAAGAAGGAAAGGGTAAGATCTATATTCTCACAACACTTAGAGTAGGAGGAGACGGGGGACACAAAACAAAACAGATAAATGTAGAGTATACCACGGGACAATGGATAAGTGGAACTTTTGGTTTTGTTGACATACTCTTTTAAGAACATACGCAAACAGCAGCTGACATGTCCAGACTCATCTGGGTCCACAATCATTTGTGCCATTAAGAACATTGTAGTCAGTGCCTATCCCAG